GTTATATGGTCTCGGTGGCCACTCCCATCCACCAGTTTAGCTGCCACATTCTGGATTAATTGTAGTTTCCAGGTCACCTTGCACAAAGAGCACATTGCATGACTAACTTAGGCCTATTAATTTCAGTTAAGTTTACTCTGAGTGAGATTTTTTGTTGTTTAGCCGTCTTAGTCATGTTTGACTCTCTGTGACCCCGTGAAGCAGAGCATGCCTTGGAGACTCTCACTTTCTTCTCAAAGCTTCTCCTTTTTTATGTCCATGGAGTTTTCTTGGCAAAATACTGGAGTGGTTTGCCAGTTCCTTCTCCAGGTGGATCACATTTAATTTAAACTCTCGGCTGTGACCTGTCCGTCTTGGGTGGTCCTGCACAGCATAGCTCATCGCTTCTTGCAGTTATTCAGGCCCTTTCGCCACAACAAGGCAGTGATCCATGAAGGAGCTGAGTGTGATTAGCATTGGATAAAAACCATTAGCCATAGGCCTACCTTGACCCAACTACCCACGGAGTGGTTTAGAAGAAGAAGAAGAAGAGTTTGGATTTGATATCCCGCCTTTCACTCCCTTTAAGGAGTCTCAAAGCGGCTAACATTCTCCTTTCCCTTCCTCCCCCACAACAAACACTCTGTGAGGTGAGTGGGGCTGAGAGACTTCAAAGAAGTGTGAGTGGCCCAAGGTCACCCAGCAGCTGCATATGGAGGAGCGGAGACGCGAACCCGGTTCCCCAGATTGCGAGACTACTGCTCTTAACCACTACACCACACTGGCTCTCCATTGCTGCTCTCTTAAGACATTTTTTCTTAGCAGACCTGCCCCTTCTCCCAAACAAAACAGAATTGCCATTGCTAGTGCAGTGCTGAGAATGTGACAAAAAGTTGTAAGGTTAGGACTGTCTGATTGAAACTATTTTGCATTCATGGTTGGAGCACACCATTTATTAATGACAGCAGTTGTTTCTTAAAAAAAGAAAAGAATTCAACTCATTGTTTTAAGATTGTCAAAGATGTGCTGAAGATGAATCATTTGAACCATAGCTGTGTTTGCATCCCACTCCACCCCCAACCCCCTAGTCAAAAAAAAGATACTGGGCTATTTTAGAATTAACAGGCAGTAAACGCAAAATTGGCCTCTCCATTGGAATTCTCCAGGCAGAACTTTGCAGCTGCGTCGGAGAAGCAAAGCACAGCCGGTGTCTGAAGCTTATCAGCTTTCTTAAAGAAGTTGCAAGGGCACTACAGTGGTACCTCGGGTTACAGACGCTTCAGGTTACAGACGCTTCAGGTTACAGACTCCGCTAACCCAGAAACAGCACCTCGGGTTAAGAACTTTGCTTCAGGATGAGAACAGAAATCGTGCGGCAGCGGCGCAACGGCAGCAGGAGGCCCCATTAGCTCAAGTGGTGTTTCAGGTTAAGAACAGTTTCAGGTTAAGGACCTCCACAACGAATTAAGTTCTTAACTCGAGGTACCACTGTATTCTCAAGAGGGATTTGCAAGGCAAGGGGGTGAGCTCTCCATCCCTAAGGGCAGGGGTCAGCAAACTTTTCCAGCAGGGGGCTGGTCCACTGTCCCTCAGACCTTGTGGGGGGGCCGAACTATATTTTGAGGGGGGGGATGATTCAAGAGCCCCACGAGCCCCAGTGGCTGCTTACCTGTGTCTTGCGAGCGAAAGGGGCTGGCGGTAGCGGCAGAGGGATGCTGAGTGGTGCTCAAAAGGGCTCCAGAGAGGAGCTGCTTAAAATGGCGGCTGCCCAAGCACTGCTGCTGCTGTACCAACAAAGCCCAGCCCCCTTCCTCCCCTAGGCAGGGCAGGGAGAAGCCAGGAGGGAGGGAGGGAGGGAGGGAGGGAGGAGGCGCCACCACCGCTGCCGCCGGCGTGGAAGGAAGAGGCAAGGAACTCGCGTGAGCTGGCAATCCATGCAGCGATTTCCGAACCGCCCGCGGGCCAGATCCAGAAGGCAATTGGGCCTGATCCGGCCCATGGACCTTAGTTTGCCTACTCATGCCTAAGGGGCATTGAAGCAGGGACTGCACAGCCATTGGACTGGGAGGCTCGAATTGCGTCCTGAATTGCAGGTCCCACATTCGCAGCTGTTTTTAACATCTGATTTGATCAGCGCTCTATTAATAATTGTTTTGTGGGAATTCAATCAATTTCCTTTATTCGACCGATAGTCAGAAATAAAACATTACACAATAATTATAAACTGTAACATCATAGGGGTACATAAATAAGGTAGGGCCACAGTACTAGACCTCTCACAGATAACCCACATCAAAGCATTCAGTTATACGTTTCCGACACTTGAGTGCCAGGAAAAGGAATTTAGCCACTGACAAAGTTGTTTTCCCAGAAGACTTATTTAGCAGATATGCTGTCTGCTTTCCTCTTTGTCGGGAACTGAGCTGGGGTAAGTATGGAGTTATAAGATACTGTCTTAAATCGTTGTAGAAGGGACAGCTCAGTAAAATGTGCTCTGTGGATTCTACCTCACCCAATGCACAGTGGCATAATCTCTGGTCATATGGGACTCCTCCATATCTTCCCTTCAGAACCGCCGAGTCAAGAACATTCAGCCTAGCCGCAGTAAATAGTCTGCGGTATTCCACGTAGTGGATATCCGTTTGTGGGAATTCAGGAACTCACTCATGACTTCGAAACATTTCAGGTGCTTCTGACAGAAGCAGTGCCGTATTGTGACTTCTTGGATAGCCTCACAAACACACTCCACCATGCTGCTCCCCAGACCCAACTCCTCCTAACGGACCCAACGCAGCTAGCTGCCACTCAACAGTGACTCCCCATGACCAAAACAGACTTCTCCTCTCAGCAAGCAGGGTCAGCATGCTGTCTGTGACAGGCTTTTGGCCCGTTCCGCTGCTTCTGAGCCAATTCTCACCGCCTACTGCAGCTTTTTTTATTTTTACTTCTCCAGAAGCTTTCGCTGCTCTTTGAAGAGGAGGGAGAGCATATGGCTCGAAGAGCCAATGTATTTCCTCCCCCCTTTATCCTTCTGCAACGCTAGCATAGTACAAACTAGGGGTGGATGGATGGATCTGTGAATTTCAGTTATCTCTCAATTTCTCGCTTTTCCTGTCTTTTAAGTTCAGTTTTGCACATTTCCAGATTTAGTTCTCATGAAAACGTTAATGTGAATTTCTCATACAATTGTAGAGTTGGACGGGACCCCACAGCTCATCTAGTCAAACCCTCCACATTGAGGGGTAAAGGTAAAAGGTAAAGGGACCCCTGACCATTAGGTCCAGTCGTGGCCGACTCTGGGGTTGCGGCGCTCATCTCACTTTACTGGCTGAGGGAGCTGGCATACAGCTTCCAGGTCATGTGGCCGGCATGACTAAGCTGCCTCTGGCGAACCAGAGCAGTGCACGGAAACACCGTTTACCTTCCCGCCAGAGCGGTACCTATTTATCTACTTGCACTTCGTGCTTTTGAACTGCTAGGTTGGCAGGAGCAGGGACCGAGCAACGGGAGCTCACCCCGTCGTGGGGATTCGAACCGCCGACCTTCTGATCGGCAAGTCCTAGGCTCTGTAGTTTAACCCACAGCGCCACCCGCATCCCTACCTTGAGGGGTATATCTCCCCAAAGGCGCATTTCCCCCTTTTTGCACATGTGTTTGCAAGCAGTTCCCCCTAATAAGAGTTACAGTTTTGTACGTTACATTCACTGAAGGTATAAATTTTCACACACGATTACCGCAACACAGACACATTTTTTTTGTACGCGTTGTTTGGTTGGAGAGCTGCTGCCTCACAAAATCAGGAAAAACAAGGATTTCTTAAAGGGTGGCTGTGTTTCAGTTCAGGTATTTTTTCAGGAAGTGTGAATCAGATACGGCTCACATTAAAATGCAAACCGGCTTTCTCTCCCATTCCTTGTATAAAACTGCCCCATTCCTCTCTTCCTCAATTTCAACGTTTTTTAAAAGATTATTCTGACCTACAAGTACTGTGTTTACTCAAATCTAATGCACACCTTATTTGGCCAAATGACATTGCGAATATCAAGGTGTGCATTAGATTTGATGGCACATTTACATTCGCCTGCAAATATCTTTCATTGGTTTCAAGGTTCTGAAAACTGAGGTACGCATTAGATTCTATGGCGCATTAGATTCGAGTCAATACGATATTTGTCATTTCAATAACAAAGTAGTAGTTTTTCAACATTATGTGTATTGATATTTACTATTAATCATAAATTAATAGTAAACAAATATGTATGTGTATGTAGGCATTTGTAAGTGTAGATCTGTCAGGGACTGGGCAGAAGAGGAATGGTGCAGACCACCTCCCCAGCCTGAACCTCCCAGAGAAGAAGACGACAGTTCAGAATTACGGACACAGTGTCTTTAGACACTGCCCCCATTCCCAGAACCCGGCAAGCAGTGAAACTAGTAGAACAAAGGGCTCAGAAGCAAAAGGACCTCAGCGCCACCCGTGGGAGAGAAGCTGATGAATGAGGAAATGGGGAGAAAAGGGGGGTGGAGATTTACTCAGGACAACGCCATTATTCCAAGAGGTTGCATTTCCAAGCCTCTCTCTCTGAATATTGAATAAAAAGCCGTTGGTAAGGACTTTTCCTTGTCTTATCTGTTCTTGGCAACCTGCCGTGGGGGCTTGGATCTTGTTCCACCTGACAAAATCTGTTCTAATAATAATTATAAATTACAAAACAATGTGGATATATATAGATATATAGATATAGATACAGATACAGAGATAAATGATAGATGATAGATGATAGATAGATAGATAGATGATAGATAGATAGATAGATAGATAGATAGATAGATAGATAGATAGATAGATATAGATAGATGATAGATGATTTAGTAAATGGCACTTTGAACTGTGAAATGTTCGTTGCAAATTATTCAAAGATAACTTCCCCCCTTTCTTTCTCTCCTTTCTTCTCTCCCCCTTTTCTATCTCTCCCCATCCCTCCCCCCCCCCACTCACCCACCCTCCCCACTACCCTTAGGTCCCGAAAACTTCAGTTCAAAGAGCCTTGCGCTGCAAGCCCAGAAAAAGATCTTGAGTAAAATGGCCACCAAGACCATGGCTAACATGCTGATTGATGACACCAGCAGCGAAATCTTTGACGAGTTATACAAAGTGACCACGGAGCACATGAAGAACAAGAAGGAAGCCCACAAAATCATGAGGGACTTGATCAAAGTGGCCATCAAAATCGGGATCCTCTACCGAAAACAATCAGTTCAATTCCGAAGAGCTGGAGATTGTCGAGAAGTTCCGCAAGAAGCTGAACCAAGCGGCCATGACGATTGTTAGCTTTTATGAGGTGGAGTACACTTTCGATAAAAATGTCCTCTCGGAACTCCTGAACGAGTGCAAAGACCTTGTTCACGAACTCGTGGAACGGCACCTGACAGCCAGGTCTCATGCGCGAATCAATCACGTCTTCAACCATTTCGCAAATGTGGAGTTCCTCACTGCCCTCTATAGCCTTGATGGGGAATGCCGACCACACCTCAAAAAGATCTGTGATGGAATCAACAAACTGCTAGATGAGAAAATCCTTTGAAACTTTGCCCTTTTTAAAAAAACAAAACATAACAGCAACTATACAAGTTTCACTTCAGAAATGTAACCAGAGAGTTGGGACCAACTGTTAGCTTCCTGTGCATAATCCCAAAAGAGAATGGCCTGGTTTGCACACTAAACCATGGTTTGTTAAACTACAGTTTCTTTAACCATGGCTTAGTGTTATGCATGAGCCCAGCAGCTTAACTATGGTTTATTAACTATGGTTAAAAGTTGCTTGTTAAGGTTTGTAGTTGCTTTATAAACCATGGTTACTGTAAACCATAGCTTAGTGTTACATGTGGACGCAGCCCAACACCTCCTCCTTAATGCTGCTTATGGAGTCATCACCGCTCAAAAGGTACACAGCTGTAACTAAATAGCAGCTCTTCTGGGCTTGTGTCTCTTTGATAGAGAGATGTAATAAACTAAGGCTTAAGTGACCATCTGCCAGATGTTTCCATTTTAATGATGGTTTTATTCATGACGGTTAGTGTTAACCATGGTTTAACATTTAACATTAACCATGGTTTAGTGTTATGTGTGAACCAGGCCATTCCAGAGCATTTGTAATGGAAAGCAAAGCAAGCCACACTTCAGACCACAAATAAACTAAGCATTTTATGATGCAAGGCCATTTGTGACGGGGAGGGAAATGATTACATACCATGATCTCATTATTCCTGTGTTGTGGTTACAGTTTGATGTGCCAAAAATGAAACCTGAAGTTCCATGACATCGAGCAAACATGCCCACGTTTATATTGTAGAAGAATGGAACCCATAAGGTGAAGTGGAAAGAATGGGTTTCTGGATATCATTATTTTTAAAACTGAAAATCTCTTTTTAGCACATGATCCAAACAGAGAATAATTCCATATGCCAGGAATGGGGGCAAAGCACAACAAAAGCAGGAATATTGATTCTCTTAAGGTGTCAACATTTTATACCAAGAAAGGAATGAAAAAGTTGTGCCAATCTCTTAAAGACTCTTAAATGGGGAGCCGCAGAAAGATTGTGCAGATTCTGCATTGTCGAAGCTATTATTCATAAGGGTGTGCATTGGCGGGGGGGAGGGTGAAGAACATGGTAAACTGGGGTGATTTTGGGACTCGTCCCTCCACTTCTGAATTTAAGCATGATGTCAGTAACCTCCCCACAGTTGAATCAGAGTCCCCACAAAGCCTGGTGTCTCACTGTTGTTTCTGTACCATATACAGCTCTGTATTTTTCTATATATCTATGTTTCTCTAGGTCCTTGGGCTTTGCAAGAAATGAGGCTGTCCAAAATGTTGCCCGAAGAGCTCGTGATTGTTTCTTGTCAAAGCATAGAAATGGATACTCATTTTCAAAAGCTTCATTTAAAACAAACAAACAACCCTACAATCCTCTGCCTTAAACTGGATGGCAACCGATATCGTTGAAGGCCTGCACCCACTAGGAATGGACGGATCTGTCTATTTCTGATCATAGCTGTCAAGCGTCCCTTATTTGGCGGGACAGTCCCTTATCCCAGCGCTGTGTCCCGCTGCTGTCCCGGATTGGTGATGTCCCTTAAATTTCCCAGGTTTCAAAGGAAGCAGCTCCTCTCCCTCCCTCCCTGCCGGCCAGGGAGGAGGGAGGCTCCAACTGTGTTGCTTGGCTGCGTTGCTCACCCAATAAGAAGTCTAAGAATGACTGGGGGGGTGGAGCTTGCATGCCTTGTGCTGATCAAATCGGCTGCATTGCCTGGGGACTCGCCTTTGCTCAGCGCTTCCCAGCGGAGAGGTGACGGTGGTTTTCCTTGCGGCTTCAGGCTTCGTTTGGCTGCTGGCTGGGCTTTCTGTCTTTGGCTTGGAGGGGCTCAGAAGTTGAACATACCTGTGCCCGGAAAATCCCTTATTTTGGCTGCTGATCCCTTATTTTTGAGGCTGCTGGTCCCTTATTTTCAAATCTGTAAGTTGACAGCTATGTTTCTGATCCTTAGTCGGTTTCCACAGTTTGGCTTGTCTGTTCCATCCCATTTCCATATTAATCTGCAAAAAGTATAAGCACCCTGGTGGATCAGGCCCAAGGCCTATCTGGTCCAGCATCCTAATCTCACAGCAGTCAACCAAACGCTTAAGGGAAGAAAGCCCACTAGCAACAGCACCCTCTCCACTGCCCCCCCAAAAAAACTGCCATTCAGAGCCATGCTGCCTCTCACCGTGGTGAGTGAACATGGCCGTTGTGGCCAGTAGCCAAATTCCTCCAAGAATTTGTCCAGTCCTCTCTGCAAGCGGTCTGAGCTGGTGACCTTCGCTACATCTTGTGGAAACAAATTTCGTAATTTTAACTGTGCGGTCTCTTTCTTTTGTCAGTCCCAAATCTTCCAAAAATTGTTGGATGGCCCCAAGTTCTGTTATCCACTTTCTATATGCATAATCTTCTATACCTTCGCTTTTACTCTTCATTTTTTCTAAGCTAGAGAGTCCCTAACATTTCACTCTGTCCTCATAGTGGAGCTGTTTCAACCCATTTTGGGTTGCCCCTTTCTAGCTCTCTAATATCCTTTTTGAGGCGTAGACAGCAGCCAGAGCTGTATACATCAGGCCATATATTTAACAATGTGTATTTTGATATTGAGGGACGCGGGTGGCGCTGTGGGTAAAAGCCACAGCGCCTAGGACTTGCCGATCGAAAGGTCGGCGGTTCGAATCCCCGCGGCGAGGTGCGCTCCCGTCACTCGGTCCCAGCGCCTGCCAACCTAGCAGTTCAAAAGCACCCCCGGCTGCAAGTAGATAAATAGGTACCACTTCATAGCGGGAAGGTAAACGGCGTTCCGTGTGCTGCGCTGGCTCGCCAGATGCAGCTTGTCACGCTGGCCACGTGACCCGGAAGTGTCTGCGGACAGCGCTGGCTCCCGGCCTCTAGAATGAGATGAGCGCACAACCCTAGAGTCGGACATGACTGGCCCGTACGGGCAGGGGTACCTTTACCTTATTTTGATATTGACCATTTGATTTCCAACCCTAATGAAATCCCCAACCCGGAATTCACCTTTGTCATAGCAGCTGCACACTGGGCTGACATCTTTGTTGAGCAACCCACTGTTGTCTTGCTCCTGGTCATTGGGACATCTGCCTGAAAACAGTGAGGGGAAGGAACTCCAGGGGTGGCTTCTTCCATTTCCACCTTCTTACAGCCATCTCCTTGCTTGCTTGGAGGGCTGGCAGGTGAACAAGAGGAGGCTACACCAGTGAGAGGAGCAACAGTGTATGCCTGGTGTAATAACAGAGGACCTTCTAAGGGCATGGGATCTTGATAGCTGCCTATCGAATCCAACAAAACACTTTCCACCCTTGACATAATCATAGCCAGCTACTTGTCATTCATTTGTGGCCCTAGTTGAGGAGTGGGGAATTGTCAGACTCTCCCCAAGCCACACCCCCATGTCAGCCACACACCCGTTTCCACAGGCCACACCCCTTGCCAGCCTTCTTCATATTGCCAGCAAGTGGTTTTTGCCTGTGCCCTTGAGCTCTGATGATGCTTGTCTGGCTGGATGATAGAAAGTGGTGTGTAGACACGGGTGGCACTGTGGTCTAAGCCACTGTGCCTCTTGGGCTTGCCGATCAGAAGGTTGTCGGTTCGAACCCCCATGACGGGGTGAGCTCCCATTGCTCTGTCCCAGCTCCTGCAACCTAGCAGTTCGAAAGCACACCAGTGCAAGTAGATAAATAGGTACCGCTGCGGCGGGAAGGTAAACGGTGTTTCCATGCGCTCTGGTTTCTGTCACAGTGTTCCGTTGAGCCAGAAGTGGTTTAGAAAGAAAGAAAAGAGGAGGGGGGAATGAAAGGAAGCAACACCACCAGGAGCTAGCTTTCCTTGCCCAAGCCCTGCTAATCTGTTAGGCCCTTCATGCCTGTGTACTCCTTAAATCTTTAGTCTGATAAGGGATGTCCTCACAGTGCTGTTCTTTCCTTTCAGGAAATCACTGCAGGGTCACAATGAACACTCTGGTCCAAGTGTTGATTATGTATTACTGAAAAGATATTTAAAAATTGTGTTCCGTCCTAGAAATTCCAGTACAGGAGAGTTTATAGGAGAAACGAAAAACACTGTACAAAACCTATAAATGGCTACTCAGAAGTAGGGGTGCAAGAAGCAATCCTGGTTTCTTCTGCTCTGTACTTGTTGCATGCAGCAGTGTTTCTGCTCTGCTGCAATTTGTCATCCACCAAAAACGGCATCATCCACCACACATGCTGCTTTGGCAAAATTGCATAAGTTACGTAATTACGTAAGTTACGTTGGCCTTACATTATTCCACCCCACTCGTTGCAGTGTAAGAAGGGAAGGGCACAATCAGTTATGCACGGTTCACAAACTGAAAGCAAAAACAGCAGCAAAGGTCAATGGCATTCACTAGATTGTTTCCAATTTTGGATAGGGAGCAAAAAGCGAGCGTTGGCGATATTTCCGCTCCCATTTTTGTTTTCGTTGGAATTCTCTGGCATCCCTACACAGATATAAGTTTCACTGGGTTCAGCTGGGCTTACTCCCAGGTAAGTGGGTGTAGAATGGCTGCTTAAGAAACTACAAAGGCCTATTGCCGCATAGCAGCAAATACATAACAATTGTTTTCTAAGATTAAACACAGGATCTATTCTGGCAACCAGAAAAGTAAAATCCACAATGGCGTGCCCTCCTGCTGGCTTTGATGAGATTGTCCACGAGTCACTGGTCTCTGGTAGCTTCATTGGGCAGTTTCCATTTTGCGTCCGTGTCCATTCACTGGATAATGTAATTTGGGGAAGAAGATCAGCTCTTTGTCAAATCAGAGAAATACAAAGAGGAATTGGCTTGTTTTGCACATAACACTAAACATGGTTTAACATTAGGGGAATGAGCAGGTGTGAGCCTCAGGCTCCCACTTCTGTACACCTGCAAAGAGATTTAAAACCTGTGGTTTCTGCTGTTCACTTATCATAGTTAACATTACATCTAAACAGGGCAAATTCTGGTTAGTTAAGAGTATGGTTATTTTTATTTTATTAATTTTCAATAGATTTTTATTAAACCAGGATAGAAATTATACATCCAAGGTCATCACACCTCCAACTAATTTTTAAAAGGGAAGACGGGATAAAATATCACTTTGAAAACTGTTGTTTCACAGGTGTGTCGAAATAAATTTGGCTCAGTGACCCACTGCAAAACTGTCCCAAAAAATAGAGAGTACCAGTTGGCCTGTTGTCTACATACCAAAGCATAGCATGCAGGACCATAATTCATTTTAAGAAACCATAGCTTAAACTAAGCAGAGTTCTCCCTTTTTGAAGGCAACAGGAAACTGCGCTTAGCGAAAAATAGAAGTGGATGCTGCTTCATGTGGCTACGCTGGAGGAGGAAGAGGGGTGTGCAAGACTTAGGCATGTTCGTGTTAACACAACTATGGTTTGGTATTATGTGCAAAATCAGTTA